GTGAAGGGAACCTACTTTCGGCACGGCACCAATCATGGCAAGCCGGTCTACAAGAAGAAGCCAGACGACACACCAGATGACGATGATGACCTAGATGTGCTAATATACTACTGGGATGAGCGGGATGGTGAAGAGAACTGCGGTTGGTGGTTCAGTCCCAGTGTGGGCGGCGAGATGGTTTGGGCATATCACCCAAGTCGCAAGGCGCGGGCATGGCGCATAGTCCTGACGTGAAATGTAAGCACATGGTGCGTGAGGGTGATGGGCTGAGTGTTTCGATCTGCAGGCGACATCGCCGCCACCTGCGGAGTGGAACGTGCCCCATGACGGGCCCATTGACAAGAGCTTCACAGTGACGGCTGCCCCCCAGCTTGCCAAAGAGAGCCAAAGGAGCCTGAAAAAGGAAGAGGCGAAAGACAAGAAAGATGAGGATGATGATGATGAGGAGGAGGAAGAGGAAGAGGAGGAGGAAGAGGTCGACGAGGAAGTATCGCGACCCAAAGCGGCACCTCTTTCGAAAGATGGCTCCTCAGACAGCGATGCTCGCGCACGTAGGAAGCCGAAGGACTCGAAGGACTTGACGGCTGAGGAGCGAGAGCTGGAGTTGCAGGAGGCGGAGGACCGGCGGCTGATGGAGCAGCTTCGTCAGCGAGAAGAGGCCCGCAAGAAGAAGGCAGAAGAACTGCGGATGCGGAAGGAGCAAGAAGAACCGGACCGGAGAGACGACAAAGAGGACAAGAAGAAGAAGAAGCGTCCGGAAAAGGAGAAGAAGAAGGACAAGGAGGAAAAACGGAAGAGGGAGGAAGAGGAGAGAGAGCGCCTCCGCAAGGATCGGGAGCGAGAGGAGGAGGAAAGGCGACGGAAAGACGAGGAAAGGCGGCGAAGAAAGGAGGAGGAGGACCGACGCTTGAAGGAAGAAGAGGACCGCCGAAGAAAGAGAGAGGAGGAGCGGCGTGAAGAAGAGGAGCGCGAGAAAGAGCGACGTCGGCGAAAGGAGGAGGAGCGCAGAGAAGAGGAGGAGCGGGAAGAAAGAAGACGCCGGAAAGAGGAAGAAGAGCGGAGGAGGCGCAGAGAAGAGGAGGATCGTCGCAGAAGGGAAGAAGAAGAGGCGGAACGACGACGCGAGGAGGAGCGCCGGCGGAAGCGAGAAGAGGAAGAAGAGGAGGAACGTAAACGTCGACGTCTCATTGAGGAGAAGGAGGAAGCCGAACGTGCTCGGCGCAAGGAGAAGGAGAAGGAGGAGCGCCAAAAGAAGGAGGAAGAGCGGCGCAAGCACGAGGAGAAGATGCAGAGGAAGTTGGAAGAGCGCCGGCGCCGCGAGGGCAACGACGAGCGAGATCGCGACCGCGACGGGCGCGACCGAAGCGACCGCGACCGGTCAGACCGCGATGTTCGCGACCGTGACCGAGATCGGTTAGACCGCCGGGAGGACCGCAGAGAAGACCGCCGAGAGGACCGTGACCGCGGTCGTTTAGAGAGGGAAGGAGCTAGCGGCGCTCGGTCGGAGAGCCAGCCGCACGAGCGGAAAGAGAGGCCGGAAGACAAGCAGCAAAAGGCGGTCCAGGCCGTGACCTCCTGCTTCCACCGGATGTCCGGGGTGAACTTGGGAAATTTCGAGAGCTTGAAGGCGGATTTCGAGCGCATAATGGCTTCGGAACTTCCGTACACAGGCGACAAGGAGCCCGCACTGCGAGAGGAAGCCAGCCGAGTCCTGACTTCGGCGGAAGAGCAAGTGGCAAAGGAGAAGCTGGCCCTGGAAGAGGAGCAAAAACGTCGTGAGGAGGAGGAGAAGCTGCGGCTGGAGCAAGAAGCAAAAGCAAAGCGACAGCAGGCCGCCAACCTGAATGTCTTGAAGGCCTTGCAGAAGCTGTCGGATGCCACGCCTGAAAATTGGGCTCAGATGAGCCACGACTTCCAGGAGATCATGCGAACAGAGCTCCCGGAGACCGGGGACCAGCGCGAGGCCCTCCAGGCGGAGGCAGACCGCGTCTTCAACTACGCGCAGCAGTACGTGAAGCAAATGGAGGAGAGGCAGAAGGAACAAGCGGAAAGAGAGAGGATTCGCCTGGAAGAGCTGAAGGTGAAGGAGCAAAATGCCCGGCAAGTCTTGCAAGAGGTCGAGGCCTGCCTCTGCAAGGCGGAGGAGGAAGCCCAGAAGGCGCGAAGCATCGCAGAGCAGCTTTACCAGCTCGCCAACGGCGGGGGCGGTAGCTCTGCGAGCTCTGGCCGAGATGCCTTAGTGTCCAGCTTCCCGAAGGGTGCCGAGGAGGCTTTGCGTATGGGGAGAGTTTGTTTAGAAGCAGGGAAAGGAGCTCAGCTGAGCGCCGAAGGTGCCTGGAAAGTGCTGGAAGGGCACCGGATGGCTTTGCTGGAGCTGGAGACTTTGCGGCAGGAAATGCTGGTCTTCGTGCAGCGCAGCGAGGCGCGGCTTCAGGCCTGTCAGATGGCCGCTCAGCAGGCAGTGAAAGTGGCGTCGGAAAGCCGTGAGCGGATTCAGAACAATGCCTCTCCCATGCTCTGGGACCGGAAGAGCGGCGACATCTTCCGGACCTACGACCAGGACGAGGACGGCTTCCTGTCCCGGAATGAAGTCATGAACTTTGCGAGGATGGAGTATGGCTTCGCCATCCCTGCGGCTTCCTTGGATCGGATCTTCCAGCAGCTCAGTGCCCCATCAGCACCGGGCCTGGAGCCCACGCGCTTCCAGCAGCTGCGGACCTCCGTGGGCATCGCACGCTTCGAGTCTCGCGTCTTGAGGAAAGCGCAGAAAGAAGCCGAAGGTCAGGACTCCCTAAAGGTTGAGGCGGAGTATAGACAGTACCTGAAGCAGCGGAAGGGATCAGTCTCGGCAGAAGTCGAGTCCATCGCATGGACAGATCTTGAGAGCAAGGTCTTGGAAGTGGAGTCCGCCTCAGCTTCTTTCGTGGCGGCTGCCGAAAAAGAGACCCAGGAGGAGCTTCAGAAATTTGAAGCGTCCTTGGATCAAAAGCTTGCGGCGGCAAGGAGTTCTTTGCCTAGCTTCCTCAGCCAGCTGCGAAATCTGCGCCACAGCACCATGCAGCTGATCATGGTTCAGGCTCCGAAGAAGTCTTCAGAGGTTCAGAAAGAAGGGACGAAGGAGCCGAAGGAGCCGAAGGAGCCGAAGGAGCCGAAGGAGCCGAAGGAGTCTGAGAAAGAAGGCGGCGACGGCGACGGCAAGGAGCCGCACGGCAAGGAGGCTCCAGAGCCGAAGCCAGAGACTCCGTCAGAGCCTCCGTCAGGGCCTAGCGGGCTCAATAGCGAGAACAGCCAGGACTCTGACGTGAAGGAGCTGAAAGAGCTGCAGGGAAAGCTTCGAGAGCTCTCGCTGAAGCTTGCAAGGCTAGAGGCAAGGGTTCTTCTTGCAGAGCGCAAGGCCTCCGAGGGGCGCAAGGTTACAGCCCGCATCGCCGCCTCTTTGGTCGAGGAAGTGCGAGTGGAGGCAGGGACCGAAAGGAGAAGCCAAGCTTGAATCAGCTTGAATTCTGCGTCCGAGGTTGCCCTGAAGCTCCGGCAATGCATCGAGCAGCTGGGCGGCAAAGCCGTGGACCTCTTCCAGATCATTGCCAAGGGCGAGGATGCCGCCTCCGTTGAAGAGGCTTTGGACCGAGACTTGGATGAGAGAGGCTTTCGAATTCTGCGTCCGGACAGGCACATGCCTTCCTCAAGGAGAACAACTGCGATATGGAAGTGGAGAAGCGAGCGGCTGAGCAGAGCACACGGCAGCACAGAGCACAGCAGCACAGCACATGAGAGACTTATGTCGTGTCGCGTCATGAATCGGTGTGGCAGTGTGGCAGCTGCCAGGCTGGCGCGCGCCTTCGCCGCCTGCAAGGAGGACACGGAGAAGGCCGACAACGCCGCACTGTCACAGCTGCACTTGCAAGGAAGGGGCTTCCCAGGAGCACACTGTGTCTCATGTGTCGAGGGCAGCACGAAAGTCAGCCGAGAGGAGTTTGCCAAGTGGGGCGCTCGGCATCGCCCGTCACATCGGCGCCGCATCACGCCGCATGACTCCGCACACGTGCTCTGCAGGATTATCCGCGTGGTCTACGAGGTGAAGCGGGAGGTGAACCTCACGGAAACCTTGGCCATCGGTCCGGCCATGAGGACCCTGGAGGCGCAGCCGGGCCCCGGGCCCCCCATGGCTTTGCACCGCAGAGTTTCTTCGCCTTTGTGCTTGCACTGCCTGCGCCAGGTCGGCGAGCACCTCGAGGCACGCCGGGGACGGTACTCCGTGCGCTCGCTCGCTCTCTCTCTCCATGTTAAATGACACCTCCCTACCAGTAGCATTTTTCCTAATGAACATGATGCATTATCGAATGCTACAATGCCGAATGGCATTTGGCCCAAGACTGGGTCAGACTGGCTTGGTCGCACAGAGGAATGCTTGCTTGATTGTGTTGAGGATTGTGAGAAAATGATTGGTATAGGTTGCTCGCAACTGTGTGAGTTGTATAGAGGAATTTTGGATGGAGGCGCAGCATGGGCTGTGGAGATAGGGAGAGAGTGAAAGAGAATAATGGACGTCGGAGCAAAAGGGATTGGAGGAGAGATCAAACTGTTCCCACCCCCGACTTACCACGGTGAGTTGGAGAAATGGGAAGATTGGTCATGGCAGCTGAAGCGATACATAGTATTGTACAAGCCGATTGCCAAGCTGACCATGGATGATCTTGAAAGAACCAACTGATAATCTGAGTGAAGCATTTGACATTCAGCAAACGCGTTCGCAGACGAATCAGTTGACAGTGTTCTCGTGCCAACCGGCATACATGTTGGCACAGATCACTCATAGCGCAGCAAGGTCTAGTGTTCGAAATGAAGACACAGAGAAGGCTTTGATATCTGGCGCCCATTGCACAAGCATTCTCACTACCGGAAAGAGCTCGAGCCACGAATCTCTTGAAGGAGATCATTGGCAAGCTAAGGAATGACCACCTTGAGAGTGACTTGAGTGATTTCATGATCTTGAAGAACAGACATGAGAAGACGACTGGAAGACCACTGGACAATGATCTTTTGATCACGGTGTATGAATATCCTCGTTTTGTACAGTGACACCTGGCGGCAAGCGTTTGTGAAGTGCTAGCGCGACTGCAGCTTCAAGCTGTAGCTTCAAGCTGTAGCTCCAATCTGATGTCTGACTGTACATTTCGGATCGAGGGCGAATAAAGTAGCATTGCCATTGCATTTCGGATTCAAACTGGTAACGGAGCTGCCACCTCCCTAAAGGGCAGAGAAACCTTTGGACGCTGAGGTTTTCGGTCAGACCGCAAGGCTGTACCCCAAGCGTGATTTGTGTGTGGACGGACGAGTGTATCGAAAGCTGTGCGTTTGTACAGAGTGAAAAGAGAGTCTGTGCACGCGACCAATGTCGGTGGCAGGTTTGAGGTATCAGGCCAGCACGTCTTCGGCAGCATCGGTAGTCACCAAGAACCGTGTCTTCAGATTTGATGGTAGTCCGGCTAACTACCACGAATGGCAGTTCCGAACAGAATTGAGGATCGCAGCGTGCGAGCAGAAGTGCAAGAAGCCGAGTCGACTAAAGCCGAATATTCCTTCACCTCGTCTGGCAAGCCGGAGACAGGTAAGAAGGAAAAGTCCCCAAAACGCAGACCGCCAGCATCTGATCTGGAGCGTGGCCCACGACCAGAAAGCAGTTCAAAGCTGTTCGACGACAGCGACTTGAAACCAGACGACGATGTAGATCACGACGATGACGACGCAAAGCTAGAAGCGGAACAGCGTTGTGCGTTCTAAAGGGGCTAAGGGGCAACGCGTTTCAGAAAGCCAAGGACTTGGGTGTTGCTGCTTTGAGAGGCTGGTAAGCCCAATTCCGTAGTGGACAAGCGGTGAACGGCCCATTGTCCGGACAAGCCAACGAAAGCATTGTCTCGTACGTCGGCCGAAGACGCCGATGGTGGAACCTCATGCGTCAGCCCGATCCTCGAATCCGGCTATCAGACAGTCTTAGGGCTGAATTCTTGTTGGAATTGAGCGTGCAGAAGCAATGTCGCATGTTTTGCAATGTGAAGTCTTTGTTGGAATGTTGAAGGACGGTTTTTTTGCATGGCAGAAGCGAATTCTCGGATCCAATGATGAAAGGATCAATGCCCGACTGTGCACTATTGCTTGTACAGTGCAACGCGCCTCCGTTTCCTGCAATGACTCGAATGTCGACCGAGTCAAGCCGCGATTTTCGAATGAGCTCAAAAATGTACAGTGTACCATGAGGTAGTTGACTGTCGCTTCGAATGTTTCTTGATCACTTCGCGAATGCTGCCGTGTAGTTGGGTAATGGTTAGCTGTTTGAATGATCCTCCACTGAAGTCAAGATCGCGGGACTGTGTTTAATGACACGAGCCCACTGTGCCCCGAATGCTCACGATGCATCTATGAATGCTACGATGCCGAATGGCAATGGCTGAAGACTGCTCAAGGACTGGAGATTGGCGGAAACAGATTGAGGTAGGTTGTTCGTGTCTGCGTAGATCGCACAGCGGAATTTGGCACACACACACACACACACACACACACACTCACTCTCACAGGTCCACGCCGGGCCCAGGGCCGAGCCGTCGGGGGAGGCCGGGTGCATCTGGAAACCATTCGTGCTGCAAAGTAGGCAGGGCATGTGGCCGTAAAGCGATGTGAAACGCTGTTCTGGTTCGAGATACATCTGATTCAACATTCGTGACATGCTCCACGTTGTCCGCATCGGATGATGTCATTCAAACGCCGTTCCTTTCTCAGCGGTTTCTAGTGGTGCGGCTTTCCCACGAAAATGGCAGGAACAGCGTAGAAGTTGCAGCAGTCATGCCGCATCATTTTGTTGACGGTTGCGGACACCACGAAGCAGTCCAAGTAACCCTGCAAATCCGAAGCGCAACCTTAAAGCTGCACTCAGAGGTGTTTTTTTGTAAGGTGGTTCGGGAGCTTTCTTCCTTAACTTTGGGCCTTGGCTTCCTGTTTTTGTCGGCCTCCCTAGGTACTGCAAAGTGTTCCGTCGTTTCTCGGACGTAGCTTTTTTGGTTTCGCTGTCGCAAACCCAGCGGCTTTTGCTATTTTGATATGAGACGGCAGGCTGTTGCCCCATGGTCGGAAGAATGCTTTCCTACATTTGGACATATTCATACTTGCAACGGCAGGGTTTGCACGAACCTCACCGTTTTGTTATATCATGCCACCAACATATTGCCACATGCGTGTTTTCAGTGACATTCTCGGGAGTTAGCACCTGAAACGAACATGGAGGAGGCTCAGCAGGACACTCGGGGGGTTTTTGTGACTCCATGTGGCTCCAGGGCTTGCAACGCCTTCACGTGCGTGCCCTCCGGGACGGTGCCCTTGGCTGGGCCACCCTCGCGAGCAGCCGCCGGCCCAGAGCGACATTGGGAAGGGCAGAGAGCCTCATGCCGTGGGCCGTGGCACTTGGAAGGTGAGGGACCCTACTTGGTGCGGAGCTAGCTGTGGCCTCAAGGCGTTCGCAACTCTTGTCTGAGCGTTGAACCTGTACAGCTAAGGCTTTCCATGCAGCTGCGGCCACTCTTGCGTGTTCGGTGACTCCGGCTGAAGGGTGTCAGTGTGCGGCTTGCAACCTTTCGACTTTAGAGTCTTGAGGTAACGACCTCGAGAAGCCCCCCTTACATAGTGAGGAGCAGTGCAGAGCGAGTCAGTGAGACGTGCAAACAGTCTGCAGACACCTGCGTAAAGAAACAAGAGTCTCCGAATGATCCGACAGTGTCTGCAAAACACGCCGTTTTCCTCAGCCTTATATGTGCGAGTTGCCTCTCGAGAGAGCCCCCCCAGCTGCAGGCCCCGACCCCTTCCCAGAATTTTCTCTTTGATGCGAGATGGGCGTTTTGGTTTGGATCGCGGAAGTGCTGGAGGCCCAGCTCCTCCTCGCGTTTTGCATCTTTTGGCTTTGGACCTTCCGGGAGTTCCTCAAGGACCTTCTCGCTGGGTTCGGATTTGCGGCGAAGGTCTCTGTAGCCTGCACGGAGGCCGAAACCTCTCGGGGGGACCGCAAGATTCTCCGAAAGTTCGACTTTGAGAAAGAGTGGCCTCATTGGCCAGAAGAGTCCATCCCCTGCTGGGATCCCGCGACCTTGGAATTCCTGGGAGAGGTTCCTGCCTGTGGCGCAGTGGAGATGAAGGAGCGGGTGAGGAAAGCTCGGGAAGCACAGCAGCTCTGGAAGACTTCCTCCTTTGCTCGGAGGCGTTATCTGCTGCGTACCATCCAGCAGTTCGTCTTGGAGAACATGGACACCATTTGCACGGTTGCCTGTCGAGACTCTGGCAAGACGGTATTGGATGCCATGGTCGGAGAGCTTACCGTGACGCTGGAGAAGCTTCGTTGGACCATCGCAAATGGCGAGAGTTCTCTTCGTCCCGAGTACCGGGACTCTGGGCTCATGAACTTGCACAAGACAAGTCGTGTCGAGTGGGAGCCAGTGGGTGTAGTGGGGGCCATCGTGCCTTGGAACTATCCCTTTCACAATGTGTTCAATCCGATGATCGCTGCCCTGTTCTCAGGGAATGCGATTGTGATCAAGGTCTCCGAGTTTGCGGCTTGGTCCAGTGTCTACTTGGCGAAGGCGTTACGCCAATGCCTCGAAGCTGCCGGGGCTCCTGTGGATTTGGTGCAGCTTTGTGCAGGTTACGGGCAGGCCGGGAAAGCGCTGGTCGAAGAATGCGACAAGCTGATCTTTGTGGGGAGTGTGCAAGTGGGGCGCAAGGTGATGGAATGTGCCAGCCGAGCGGAGCAAATCACCCCCGTGATTCTGGAGCTTGGGGGCAAGGACCCCTTCGTGGTCTGCGAGGATGCTCAGGTCGATGAGGCGATGACGCAGCTCGTGGTGCGCGGTGCCTTCCAAAACATGGGGCAGAACTGCGCAGGGCCCGAAAGGTTCATCGTCTATGAGCAAGTTTACGATCTCTTCTGTCAGAAGGTCACAGATCTCGTAAAGCAGCTGAAGCAGGGGCCACCCTTAGGCTCTGAAGGCAGTTTCGTGGACTGTGGGGCCTGCGTGCACCCACCCAGCCTTCTCAACTACCAACGCCTTGTCGACGACGCAGTGTCCAAAGGTGCCAGGGTATTGTGTGGTGGCAAGAAGAACACTGCCTGGGAGGCTCAATTCTTTGAGCCTACAGTGCTTTGTGACGTGACGGAAGGGATGCTGATCGCAGAGGAGGAGACATTTGGGCCGATTTTGTCGATTTTTAAAGTGAAGGGCGAGACCGCGGAGTTGGCGGATGCTGAGGCCCTTCGCTTGGCCAACGCTTGCCGCTTCGCTTTAAGTGCCTGCGCACACTCGGCCTCCGAGACGAGGGCGGCCAAGCTCTGCCGAAGCTTCGAGAGCGGCATGGCCAGCGTCAACGACGTCGAGGGCACCACCTACCTCAGCCAATCCTTACCCTTCGGGGGATACAAGGACAGGTCACAGAGGGGCCGTAGGGCGGTAGGGGGGGTCATGTGCCTTTGTCGGCTCTTTTTCAGGACTCGGGCTTCGGCCGCTTCGCGGGACCGGAGGGCCTCAGAGGTTTGTGCCACGAGCGGTCCTTGGTCCAGAACCGCTTGGCTTTCTTGAAGCCCAGCATCCCTCCGGCCATCGCCTACCCGGCCAGGGGCCATGGCGAGGCCAGGCCAGAAGTCTGGGCAGATGTATTTGTGTGCCAACAACTCGTCCTCACTTCGCCAAAGCAACGGCAACACATCGTATACTTCTTTGCACTGCATGACTTCGGGACCAAAACAACGGCAACAAATCGGACTTCTTCGCACTGGGGCATCACTGCGCGGCCAAAGCAACGGCAACAAATCGTACTCGTACTTTTTTTGCATTGGGGCATCACTTCTAGGCCAAAGCAACGGCAACAAATCGTTCTTCCTAGCACTGGGTCATCGCTTCGAGGCCAAAACAGCGGCAACAAGTCGAACTTGATAGCACTGGGGCATCATTTCGAGGCCAAAGCAACGGCAACAAATTGTACGTCTTAGCACTGGCGCATCACGTCGAAGCCAACAGCAACAAACCGTGCGTGTTAACACTGGGGCATCGCTTCGGACGAAGAGATGTTGTGAGGCCAAGGGATCAAAGGTGTGTAGTCAGGAAGAAGGACCCCATACTCGGATTGGAGATCTGCACAAGTGGTGTGTCTGTATCCGTTGGTGTCTGTGTGTGTGTCTGTCCTTGTCTTTGTGTCTGTCTGCCTGTGTGGCGGCGTCTGTGTTTGCGCGTGGGCGCACGCGTGCATGTGTGCGTGCGTGTGCATGTGAGTGTGCAGAGCAGTGGAATGAGCTTTTGTCCTGCAAAAGCATGTTCATACGGATGCCTTGGATGATCGTGGCGGTGGTCACGATGAAATCGTCGTCCTTTTGATGTCCGTCGCAACCGCAGCAGCAGCAGCAGCAGCAACATTTTTCTCGCAGTTCGCAGCATGCCGGAGTCCACAGATGAAGCTGGTGGGGAATTGCTTCTCCTGTCCTTGTTGAGGACCAGAGCATCTTTCTGGATATTCCCACTCCGTATTATAGACCCTGGAACACGAGAGAGCGGGCAGAAATGCGGCATTTTAAAGCGGCGTCTCGCAAGGCCTTCTGTCGAGGACTCAACTTGCTGCTCTACGGCAGCCCGATGCAAAGACTCCAAGGCATTTTCCAGCTTGCAGGCCAGGGGCCAGGGGCCAGGGCTCAGGGCTCAGGGCTCAGGGCTCAGGGCGGCTAGGCCTCTGTTCAAATGCACGCAGCATGGCGCAGCATGGCAGCGTTGCAGGCGCCAGCGCCGCAAGCACCCAGGCGGGCGGTGCAAAGAAAGATTGATCGCCCCCGGACTCGCCCGGAGGTGAAACACGAGATTCTGCTTTTTCTTGCTGGCAGAAGGAGTTACGTAGTCCGAAACCTTCGGAGCAGCACTCACAAGCACTCGGTGCTAACTGGCTCCAGAACTGCAGGTGGGGAGGAGGGGTCAACAGACAAGCATGATAAAGGGGGGGCTTTCATGCGAATCTTTTACAGACGTTTTGCCCTATTTGTTCGGGATCTCGGGCCCTTTCGGGCCCTTGCCCTCGGCGGCCATGGACCTTTGTGCGACATTGCGGCAGCTGGAGGATTTTTTCAACGGTTGCCGAAACGAGTGTGACCAGAAGTGTGTCATCGACAACCACGAGGCCCGAACTGCGGCTTGCAATTCTCGAGCACTGAGAAGACATGTTCTGCGGTTCTTTGGCTTCCAGAGTGTTCCGCGCGCTCTTGACAAAGCCTGCCCGCCGGGCCGCCCCCACCGAATACGCGACTCACAGATGTTACGTCCAAGTTGCCTCTCGGACCCCGCCCAACGAAGAAAGGCAGGAGGACAAGCAGCTTGCTTCACGACTCCTGAAATTCTAAGACTGCTACCTCAAATGTTATATCTTTCGCCACGGAAGTGCCCAGATCGTAGCTGCTATATATATATATATATATAGGCATGACTGAATGACACGTGACACTGGCGCAGCAAACACTTCAGGCAGGAGCGCTGCAGCCTTCACACCTCGCAGACGGCCTCAAGCGCTGAGCAGGGTGTCCCCCAGCCCCCAAGAACACACCAGCTGCGGGGTGGGCCGGAAGGACGTCCAAAAACAACATAGAGCCGGCACTGCGAGGAGGACCACAAATCTAGAGAGCTGCAAAAGCGGCGAGAGACAGGGGGGGAAGGAGAGGTAGAGGGAGGCACTGGGTTCCTTTTCGTTCGTGTTGGCCAAGGTTGAAATCTTGCAGGGGCCTTCGCTGGGCACGCCGAACTTTACAGAATCCTTCTGCCCCTCCGGTCGAGCAGACACCTTCTGCACTCCACGAGTGGCTTCGGGAGGCCTCGCAGCAGTTGTGATAGAATGTGATAGAGGCTGAAGAGGTCTGAGGTAGTCGACTTCACATGCTCAAAGTCTAGGATACTACTATGGCGGCAGTTCCGAACGATCTTCAAAGTGAGCCTGTGCCGGAGAGCAGAGCAATGACTGCCTGCTCGCTGAATCGACTGAAAGTTTCACAGCCTGTCACCAAAGCTCGTGTCTGGAGGCAAGGAAGTGCAGAGCAACTCGCAGAGCTGCGCCTTGTTGCGGAAATTTCCCGGGTACTCTTTGGGCTCGAGGCTCAAGACCATGATAGGGCCTCCCCCGGCCGCCTTGCCAGGCGGCTTCTCTGCGAGTGCGCTGAGCCTGAGCCATGTCTACGCCCCTTTGGCGAGAGCCTTCAACGGCCTTGGACCGAAGCACCTCTTCCACGCAGGGAGCGGACGAGGAGGGCGAGGAGGGGGGCGAGGAGGGCCATGGCGAGGCTGCGCACGGCGCGCGAGCAGCGGGCGCGCTGCTCGCAGGGGCTCCTCGGGCTCCCGGCCCTCGGGCTCCCGGCCCGGCGCCTTGGAGACTTGGACGGTGCGGCTCTTGAAGGAAGCCTTGTTGGAGCGGCAGCTCTCGAGGACTGGCCGAAAGCAGGATCTTCTGGATCGGCTCCAAACCGCTTTGGACATCGAGAAGATGACCGTGACGAAGTTGAAAGCTCAGCTGGCCGAACAAGGACGGAACGCACAAAAAGCACCCTTTCAGCTTAGTATAGGACCTATAGGAACTGATCGGCTTCCTGTCTCAACCGATTCTTGGGGTCCTCTGTCTCTCTGTCTCTCTGTCTCGCGAGGCTTGGAGACGAAGGGCCTAAAGGCGGAGCTGGTGAAGCGCCTCACCTTCTCCTTGCTCTCAAGACGCCGAGCTGCCCGAGCTGCCGCAACTCAGCCTACGCAGCCCCAAAAGGAGGCAGCTTTAGCTCCACGGTCTCTTCGAGCGAGCTCCGAGCTCGAGAGGCTGAGCAGCTCCGGCAGCTGGTTTCTGGGGCGCGTGCGGGTGGTGATGGCCTTCGGCGTCTTCGTTGAAACCTCCGAGGGCTGGGGAATGATCCCAGTGGAGGAGCTGCCCCAAGACTTCACTGTCACCACGCAGCGCACCACGCAGCGGCCGCAGCGTGTGAACCCCTCGGCCTTCTCTTTGGACGAGCCCGTGGAGGTTCCATTGGCGCAATCATGGGATGCTAGTTGCTGCTAGTTGCTGCTAGTTGCTGTATTGCTATTTGCAGTCTTACGATTGCGCATCGCCGTGCAGACCGAGTCGCTCGCTGTCGCTGTTGCTCTCGCTCCTCTCGCTCTCCCTTTACGTCTCTTAGTCCCCCGCGCCGTGCAATGTAAGCGCGACTTGATTGCGTGCACTTCCATTGCACGCTTGAACGTGTGTACTGCTTGATGGCATGTTTCTACATGTTTGTATCTCTGTTGACAAACATGTATCTTTGCAGAGAAAGAAAGAGAGAAGGTGTTTGCGGGTTTTAGTATTTTACATTGAAGGAACTCCAAGCACATCCAAGGTATGTGGAGCATTACAACACGAAGGTAGTGCTTGCTTGTATTCCTGAGAAATGTAGTAGACAAGGTCAGGCTCAACCTGTGCATCGTCATGGGTACCGCACTGCTAGATTGATTGGTTGCGTGGGTTCTTCCCGCAGCAACTATCACAGGCAGGAAACACCGTAAATACGGTATTCCTGACTTTATCGCGAGTAGGCCACATATCCCAATCCACCCAACACCAAAACACATCGCATCAGCTGCTCGATCTGGCATGCAATGTTGCATGGTTTGAAACTGTTCATGTACCGTTTCAGGTTAATTAGTTGGCAGAGTGTTGAGGATTCGGAATATGTATTTATATCAGTTCTTTAGTGCTGCAAGTCGACAAAGTGCGGTTTCCCACAATCTACAACCCAAAATACCAGGCAATTTGGGCCCGTTTTCTATGCGGACATCTGGTTTTGCGGGGATGCTGCCAAAGCCTCGCTCGGGGATATTCGGGGGTGCCGTAAACAAGTTCCAAAATCCTTGTGGATTTTGCCGCTGCAAAGCCTCGATCCCGACGACTATCCGTACCGGCTTGGTCTGAAAAAGCGCCTTTCAATCCCCAAAATATGGCTTATTATGGGTAACAAGAAGGATTTGTGTATACACAGGAAGACAGACACACCGACACATAGGCAGTATTCCGTATTCCACATGCTTAACCCATGACCCATGTCTTTATAAAGAGAACTCAGAACTTATAGTTGTTCATAAATAATGAAGGCTGGGTGTTTAGGGTTGCAAGCCATACTTGCAAATAATTAGACGCTAACTAAATCACACGATTATCACCAAGGTCTGGGCTGTCTGTCTGCTGAGGGTCTTCCTGTTGATCCTGGAAACCTCTTCAGACGCAGCGGGCCTCAAGTTTCAGGAAATTGCCGCCCTTGTTTTTTAGTGTGAGGAAGACCGGAACGGCCCGCAGCATAGGTGTTGATTTTTTGCAAGTTTCCTGGTCCTGGTGTCAACGAGTTCGCAGATTTCGTTGTCCAGCCAGTTTTGGTACTCCTCTTGGCGTCGTCAAACTGTTTCTTTAGTTCTCTTTCTCCTTGACCGTAGCTGCCAAAAGTTGAGCCGTGGCTGGCGGGCTTACGGATAGAGCTTGACCGTTTGATCATCAGATTCTGCTGTTTCCGGAGATCGGACCTGTTCCTTAGAGAAGGAAGTTTCCGAATTTTTCTGGTCGCGGGACGGAACTTGTTTGATGTCTACCGGACTACAGTCCAGTGTTTTTCGTCCATAGCAAGGCTTCTGTTCCTTTCAGAGCAAAGTCCAGTCTCTTTCGTCCATAACAAGGTCTCCCAGAAGAGTATCTGATTTGATCCGACGCATTGTCACTTTCCGGTCCCGGAAATCCAGAGCTTGGCCACGTTCATGCGGAATACGCCCACCTGACGGACTTTCCCCATCGTCCTCTCTTGGTGCCGTGGCTAGCACAGGGGCTGCGGCCTTGGCAGCGGCCTTCGGTTTCGGAGGCACAATTTTATTTTTGGGATGCCCATAATGTGGTCCGGCGGAAGAAGGACTGCTTCCTGTCATCTGGAGTAGTTGAGAACGCATCTTGTCCCAAGGAACTTTGTGAGGTTCACAGGCCTGCGCGTTATTTTTCCTTGGCACTAGACGGCCGTGAGGCGGTGAAAGCTTGGACGGTCAAAAATTGAGCCATTTTTGCTTCTGGCCCTTTTGTCGCCGTAGCGAGTAAGCTCGAACCTTGTAGTAGCCCTCCAAGAGGGTCAGGCAAGAACCTTGTAGTGGCCCTCAAACACTGTCAGGCAAGTGAGTCTACCGAAAAACGGTGCAGGCGTTGCAACAGCACCGAGGGAGAAAGAGCGAACGGTGAGAGATTCCTTGTCATTCAAAAGGTTGATGACAGTAGCGCCACGCAAGCCACAGAAGCATGTTCCATCGGGCGTGTGTGATTCAAGACGTGCGCATGCAAAAAGAAGGAGCCTGGTGGCTTGCGTGGGTTGGCTTGGGGTGTTCGGGTTCTGAAGAGGCAGTTCAATCGTCAAGTTCATTCCGGAGCAGCCAAGATAAGCCATGTATTTACCAGGACATGCATTTGCCGAAGCAACAATGTCCATACACAAGAGCATCCGTCAGAGCATCCATGCCCAAAGCCAGAGCAACGTCGACGTCCATGACCAGGGTATCCATGGCGAAGCCGCCATTTACCAAGGTTCACTTGCCAAAGAATCTATGCTCGTTACCAAAGCCGTCTTTGCCAGAACATCCATGTCCAAACCATAGCAACGTCCACCCGGGTAGTGATGTCGGTTGATTAGCTGTACAAAGTCGGCTTCGTACACTTAGTTGTGGCAATAGCCGCTTACCGGCAAGCTTTTGATATGCTTATTGGCGATGCTAAATTAAAACCAATATCCCGCCAGCATCGCTAGCCTTGTTAATGTTTGTTGCATGATTGCTTCAGAATGTTTTGCTTCATGTTCGAATACTGCTCAATGAACAAGCAGATAATCATTCCAGAGGTATCAGTTAAGCAATTTTAACGCTACGCCGCCCGCCTCGGCTGCTGGGGGCCAGAAGGGTGAGGGTTTAGGGTTTAAGTTGCCGTCCAAGGAGCCGGAACAGGAAAGGTGGGCGGGCAATCAAGCAGGAAAGAAAGAGCAGGAGCTGAGTCTTGCAGCACACAGAGAACGGCCAACAAAAAGAACATGCAGACAGAAAAACAGGGAACAGAGGCAGCAACAC